AAGATAATGCTAATGTTACAGTTTCTGTATGATGCATCGACCTTCACCAAATATCTGAATGTACTTTATGATCTATAACAGCTGCTCTTAAAGAGAACACAATAATAAAGAAATTTTCATTAAATGGCAGTATCATTAAAATTTGCTGAAATGAGACGTCAGCAAATAAGAAAAAAATCTTAGATAAAGAAAACAAAATGCCGTTTGAATTTTCCATAAAAATGACTACAGTTTAACGAAACAACGTTGTGTAAACCTTGGAGACGTTTCATTCTGTCCAAAACAGTTTGATTAATACGACTAAGTTGTGTACATAATGTTTTTCGTTGAATCCACACACTCGGTTGTTTCACAGATTTAATTAAAACATCACTCCTAATTGAAAACTCTTCTGTTTTATTTTGGGTATTATGGAAATAAATAGATTCTCTAAATTTGCACAGCAAAAAGAGTATTTTTACAATTGACAGAATTAAATAACAAAAAGAAATGCGATAAAATGTAGATATAATACCTTTTTACTCAATACAAGACTCGAATTGTCATCTATGAGACAGAAAAAACAGTTTTTGTATCGTTTCGATAGAAGAGTTTAACATCAAACATTTGGAAATATTTAACTTTTTCATAATCGTATTTCTTTTCTTCATTCTTCATTTATTATTCAATGAGTTTTACTTCTTTTTTTTTCAAAATAAAAGTCGATTATGTTGTTTTTTTTGTTTTCATCAGTTTACGTGAGTAAATTACAGATAGAAAATAATCTTATATAAAGTCGCACCCAGGTAAGAACAACATTGATGACAACTAGTAAACGTTAACTTTCTTTATATACAGAGAATAATATTATTCATCTGTTTTTTTTGAGAATTGTTGACAATAATTAGTTCAACAGATAAACTGATGGAAAATGGCAATCTGAAAAAATGTACCAATACTTTTCTTTCAAAACGAATTACAAGAAAGAGTGACTTAATTCGACTAGTCCAGAGAGATTGTAGAAAAAAAGAATATATATTTTCACGCCTATCAGTTTCTATCTTTGTAAACAAATGTTTGTAATGTTGCCGTTTTTACGAGTTTGTTGTATATTTTAAATCATTTTTACGCTATTTCATAGTTTATTTATTCATTTGTTTTATACATCTTCAGTGGATAAAAATAATACACCAAATGAGGAGAAATCTAAGGAGGGGTACGGTAGTGCTTCCGAATTAGCTAAACACAGTATATCTACGAATGAATATCAAATTAAGTTTGACCAAATTATCATGAGAGATATAGACGAAAAAGGCTGGAAACGATATACACATTGGTTAATAACGGATATTATAATAAATAAATAATATGTAGTCAATGACTTCCTATCCATACAAAGATGGGTGAAAAGTGGATCCGGACGTCTATTCGTGAGAGTCGAAAAAACCGTCTGACATCAACACAACTCATAACTTGAGACCAAGAGAGAAAGAGAAAGTAGTGATTCTTATCAATATCCTGTTTCATTTTTTAGATGTTTGAATTTGAGGTTTATATTTCTTATCGCTTATTTTTTGTGTTTTCTTAATTATTTATTCACTGAAGGTGTATAAAACATGGAAACGTTTGGATTGAATAAATAAACTATGCGATAAAGTAAAAATGACTTCAGATATATATAAATGTGCCTCTTATGAAATTTAATCTATAATTTAATCTATCTATCTTATAAATTTAATCGGATCTATTACGATTCTTTCCTTCTATCCTGTCAGAAATGACGATTTTCATCAAAAATAGCGAATTTTAGACAAATAAATGATGTAATAGTCTACAGTCTCCTCTTCCAATTGCACTCAATTTTTTGTCTCCAAAAATACGTTTTCAGGATATTTTTTAAGCAAGTTTTATGAGTAGTAAAATCCTATGACGATTTCATCCGGATCTCGAATTTTATGTCAAAAATAGATTTTGAACAGGGAGATAAAGTCTTAAAATCAAAGATCCTCTTTACTTTTAACTTGAACAAATAATTGTCATATGCTATTTCGACAAGATACACCTGTTGAAGCTTGGATCTATTCTTCTTTTGATAACTTAGAAGATGCGCAATTCAAAGAGAAAGAAACGACATTTATACATTGCCGGCTGTTTTTGATGCTGCTGATAAATGATTTCAGTATACCTCTCCCCTCCTCTCTTTTTTCACCGTGTTGCCAAATACGTAGCGCACGTTTGAACGAGCTCAAATTTATACCAGAGAAACTAGAAGAGCGAAAAAAGAAATCGATGTATTTTTGCTCAGAATTCTGTGACATGATTTTCTATGGATTTTCAGGAACACTTCACTTTTCATCCAGCCATATTATGACCTCTCGAAAAAAATGTCGTCCGATCGAGTCAAAATTTTCACCACAGATACTCCAGATTCTATCCCATGATGTCAATTTTTTTTTTTCGAAAAATGGTGAAAATCACTTTAAAAAAAACAGACTGTTTTTGTGTGATTTTCAACATTTTTCGTATATTTTGTAAATAAATAAAATTGACATCCTGATCTTTTTAAACGTACGAAAGAAAACGAAAGATCTAAACCTTAATAATACACTCATAGTTCAAAAGGAATAGACAAAAGATTATAAAAAATGTCTTCAAATTAATGTCGTGTGTTGCAGCCAGATTATCGAGTTTCGTCTAAAGTTAATTGCCGTTTTAACAGTTTAAAAAGTCAGATTTCTTAAACTTTAAACGTTAATGTTTAACACTAGAACGCCCAGAAATTTGCATGAGTTAGAACGTCCAAAGCGTTCATTTTGCCCGTTACTGTTTTTTTTAAAGATTTTATACTTAAAAATGGTTCTGAATTCAAAAATGAATTAAAAATTCTGCAAAAAATAATTTTTGTGGGACAAATTAAAAGTTATGACATAATTTATTTTTAAATAAATTATATGCAGTTTGTTTTATTAAGGATAAAAATCACAAAACGGTCAAAATGATCGACCGCTACGGGTGTTCTAGTGTTAAAAAAAAATTCAATTTTGAAAATTATATATTCAATACTTTTCAAACTAGAGATTAAAATTTGTGCTTTCGAACACTATTATTATGCAGAGTATTATTAATTTCAACTAAAGTAGAACAAATTCATTGTACAATCGCGTACAGAGATGAAATCCTAAAAAAGGATTTTCAGAGTGAAAATTCAAAAAAATATCAGAAGAAAAATGTTTTACTCAATATGAAGATGATCTTCAGGTTTTTCAGAGAAATCTTACATCTGCTACTGAAAAAAATAATGACGAATGTTAAAAAAAAGTCTTTAAAAATTCAGAAATTAACGGTGGAATCATTTTTTATTCATCTCTGAGTTCCATTCACGTTCTCGATTCGATTACAGAACAAAAAAAAAGAAAAAATGTCTTAAAAATTACAGTTTAAGATAAATCCATAAAGAAAACTGAAACAAATTAACAGCTCAATTATACACTTAGAGAGGCAAATATATCTCTGATCATCCTTAAGAAAAAGAAAGAAAGAAAGAAAAAAAGAGAAAGAAAGGAGAAGAGAGAACGAACTATTTCTCAGCTAAATAAGACAAAAAAAAGTTCTCTTTTCGCGCTAAAAGTCTAAAATAAGAAATTTTTTACATTTTTGTCAGCTGTAACTCGCCGCGCTCTCTTAACATAAAACTTTTTTTTTTGTTTTTTTTTGTTGTATCATAATAAGGAAATGTAATTCAAACGAGTATACACAACAACAACAAAAAAAAAATAGGCCAAAGTGTTTCAGTAGAAGAAAATGAGTCAGTCAGCTCTTCTTCTTTTTGTTTCGAATGTGAAGTGTCGTATTAAAACAATGAAAAATCTTAGACATACCTCTTTATCCAATATTTCATTTAAATATTCAAGTTTTTGTTGTAAATCTTTTGACTCTTCTTCAGTAAGATCTAAACATGAAAAGACTAATTGAATCCATCTAATTCAATAATGTATAGAAAAATCCATTAGTTAAAGTGCCGATATCATCGGACACCAGCAATATTTTTATTCATTTATTTCGTACGTTGCTTGTACTATACATTTTCTTATGGCATAGACGTGTTTACAATAGAGTCTTCTTTTATTTTATCTTTTTTGAGTTTATGTCTCTGCCTTATGTAGAAAACAAAAAAAAAAAAAAATAGAAAAGGGACAAACTTTCCTGTCCTATACAATTTTACATGTGATTCTTTTGTAAAATATACAATTGTAACAATTTTTAGAAAATACAATTTTTTTCACTGTCAATTTTAAACACAAAAAATTGATTAGAATTGAGGAAGTAGAATAAAACTTCATAATAGGTATGTATATCATCGATTGAGAAAATTTAATGTTTAATTGATCGAGACAAAAAATTGAGTACTGATTAAATTAGTTAGAAAAAAATTTTTTTTTGTTTTTTTAAATAATAGCATTGTTTGATCCTCATTTGAATTGTATAATTCAATCTGTACCTTTAATTCTGTTTCCTGATGGTCTTTCTCTCATAGAACAAAAAAAAAAAAAAGAAGAAAAATATTGATCTAGGCGATTAGAGAACGCATCAAGGGAGACCAGATGAGAATGAACGATAACAAAATTATTTTTTATTCAATACTGACTAATTGATGTACTAGTATCTCATACTATAGATGAAATTTTTCTTCTCCTTTTTTTCTTTTCATAGAATTTTTCGTGTGTAGAGTAGAGATCTGTATGATCAGGGTCCGTGGTCCTATTTCTTAGTCAAATGAAAGCGAAAGTGTCTACCGTTTCTTTCGCTAAATTTTGTGACTGAAGGTCGCAGAGTGGGATTATTCGTGCATATCTCTAGTGTAAAGTATATTTTTTCCATTAAGAATGTTTCTGACTGTTGTTAATTTAAAAAGGTTATGTCAATTAGACGATGAAAATCGATCATAAATAATAGGTTTTGTATAAGAATTCTTTAGTACTTTTTTAAATAACAAAACTGACTCAGTTATTTCTGATTTAGTCAAATTGATGCATAGTTACTTCGAAATCTACCATAAAAACTCGAGTTTACAGGCTAAACGATTTTATTTTTGAATATTTTTTTTTCTTTTACTTTTATTACCTGCAGGTAACTCGACAAAAAATCTTAATAGTAGACGATGTTCCGTTGGATTACATGTTCCCGTTATTTGACCATTTTTAGATAATACTAGTTCGCCATCTAATACAATCCAACGTTCATCTGCATTCTACAACGAAAATAAATTTTATTACATTTCTGTATATTACAGAAAAGTTTTAACTTAAATAAGAGAGAAACATTAAATATTCGAATGTATTTTGAAGAAGAAAAAAAAATCCATTAACCAGAAGAAATGTGAAAACTTTGTTCATAAATCGTTTCTTCTTAACAAAAATCTGATGTGTAATGCTTACGAGAAAAGGTCTCCAAGTGATCCATCGCTTTTACCTTGAAATCGACTTGATTCTACATAGTTTATTATGTTAATCCTGAATCTGATACTCATTTGTGCTTAGAGCGGTTTCTGTTATATTCGGTCTCTGGAGACCGGTGTCAAAATTCATAACGAAGAGATTTTGATCTATGCAGATAGTAGGACATGTCGAATTACCTATAAGGAAATGTCTCTCGACTTACCAAGAAGGTTTTGGGGGAGTTATGAGACTTCTATGAACCAAAATACGAAACTTTTGTTTCAAGTTCTCATAGAATCGTTCGTCAAATTTTCATACCTCAGCCAAAACCTACTTGACATGTAATAGAAGAACAATTTCCTGTTGATAATTCGACATGTCCTACTATCTGCACAGATCAGAATCTCTTCATGATAGATTTTACGACAGGTCTCCAGAGACTAGATACAACAGAAACTTCTCTCAGCATAAATGAGTCGTAGATTCGGGCACAGCATAAAAAATTACGTAAAATCAAGTCGTCCATTGTCAAATTTTCTACGTAACTTCAAAATGAAAAAATAAAAAAACGCGTTTTGGTGAGACAAGTCACGTAGAAAATTTGGTAATGGACTATTTTAAGGTAAAAGCAATGGATCACTTGGGGACCGTTTCTCATTCGACATCTACTAATAGAATCTCTCTATTATCCTGTGAATTAATAATTTTTTTCTTAAAAAAAAAACTAGTCATCATATGAAGATCTAAATATTTGTGATTGTTTTACAAATAAAAAAATAAAAATATTTTCGTTAGAAAAAAAAAAAAATGCTTAAAATCACATAGAAAAATATTTTCTTTTCTTTCATGATTCTATTTATAAACAATATTTACCTGTGATGATGTTGCAATTTCATTTAATTTAACATAATATAATCCTAATAATTTATCCCAAAATTTTCCACGATCCCATAATTCAACTTGTAAACCTAACACCATATCATTGACATCACTAAATAAAATAATTTAATATATTCTAACTTTATTATTAATAATAATTTAATATTATAGACTTACAAATAAAATTCTTGTTCCCAACCTGGATTTAATCCTTTAACAACACTCGTTGTCGATTTAACATTATCAATTTTTAATACAACATATGAATTACAATTTTCTTGAAAAAATAAAATAAACAATCAATGAAATAGCTAATATTATAAAAATAGAAGAAAAAAAAAGAAGAGATATACCATCATTTCCTACAATTCTTGCTTTTTTCACCAGAACACAAAGCAATGACATTCTTGTTGACGTTATGGATATCTACTGTAATAGTCGATGTTAATTTAAAATATATAATCATCTAAAAATAAAACTAAACTCTTTTTTTCTACTTCATTTTTCATATCTCAACTTCAAATCTAAAAAAAAAAAAAAAACACTAAAAATATTCTTTTTAACTATATATAACAGATAAGAAGAAGAAGAAAAAAAAAAAAAAATCTTTAGTCAATGGTGATAAATCTTAAATAGACGTATAAATGATAGATTAGTGTTTGATCTGTCAAATTCAAATCTTATATTCTCCGGGTTACACACTATTAATCAAAAATATTAGACAGAAAAAGTCAAATTTCACACAACACAAAAAATATACATACCTGGAAATGATGATACCTGGAAGAATGAGAAAAACCTTAATATTTTTCATTTTTTGTTTTTTTTTTTGTTGTTGAAATAATAAGCAGTTCTATTGACGGTTCGTTCTCATTTCATTTGAAAAGATGCTCATATTCTCACGCTATCCTTTGATGTTAATTAATGATGCAAAGATTGCCTTTTACAAAATCAAAAATTCACTCTTATTGACACGAAATTGTACAGTTAATTTTGTAGAAGATCAAAAGAAGAAGTAAAAAAAAAAAAGATGAAAAAAAACTGACAAAATCATTTAACATGTTTCTTTCCTGTTAACAATGTTAGAATCAATTAAGAAAGTAGTGTTTCGGATAATGGACTAAAATGCACGTTCAACAACATTTCTTCTTCTTCTTCTTTTTTTCGTTCTTTTCTACAACACAGATTATTGATTGACCGTATAAAACATAATTATGCAGACGTTAGAATTGAGTGAAATTTATGCATCAAATAAATGCAAAAAACTGAAGTGGTTATTACAAAATAAACGTCTTCCATTCGAGATATGTGAGAAAAAAAAGACTTCTTTATTTACATCACTAAAAAATATTGTCATCAAACAAAACAAAAAAGAAAAATGGTCGTCTGATTTTTTTGTCAATAGTAATGTATCTCTAATCTCTTCAAGTCATTTTGTTTTTTTAGTCTAGAATAAAATATTGATTATTAAAAAATGAATATTTTTATATTAAAACATGTTTCTAGTCTAAATTTTTTTTTTTTGTATTTTTTAGTAATAATAGTATTTAGGAGGATATCTCTCTCTCTCTCTCTCTACATACATCTTAAAAAACAAAAATATCTTCTTTTTTGTTTTGTTTTTTAAAAACTTTGATTTACTTCTTTTTCTTTTGTTTCTTTTAATAATATAAAGTTATTTTTCGAATAAAACAAACTTTTTTTCTGTTCCGTTTATTATTATTATTTATAAATATAGATAGTCATCTCTATCCCATTTCATTTGCACTTATCCTTTTTTTCTTCTTCTTTATTTTATTTTTCGTCATAATTCATTCAACACAAATACATAACACTCTTTATATATACAGTCATTTTTAATGAAGAACTATCCACATTCATTCATTCATTTAATACTCTTCTTTTTTTTTCCTGTGAGAACAAAGAAGTTGTTGAACATTAAAAAACACAGAACGTATCTAAATAGATGATAGGAAGAAAGAAAAAAAGAAAGAGGCCGAATTATTCTTTTAATACTCAACAAGAACTACATACATACTTCCGATACTGAAGAGCACACCCCTACAGGCGACTTTTCAGGTCAATTAAAGGAAAACAAGAGGAACTTGCCGGATTTTTACGCCACTTAAATCCGATAGGAAAAAATAACCTTAAAAATACAACAAATATTATAGTTCGATACATTTATTACACAAGAAAACTGTTAATAGTGAAAAAAATAATTTTAAGTGCTGATAAAAAAATAAAATCAGATTTTCTCTATGACATTCTACATCGAAATTGACGGTGATTATAAAATCTCATTTATTTTACTTTCCTACAATAATATCTATTTTTTATGCTTGTTCGGTTAGTATTTTTTTTAAAATAATGAAGTGTAAAGATATTTTCTTTTTCTTTTTCTTCTATGTGTTCCTTATTTTTACTAAATATAAAAATTCTTAAATTGAAGAAGGAAAAAAATAAGAAAATGAACATGAATAAGATGTATTTAAAAATAAGAGCAGTTAACCTACACTCGTGTTAATATACGATTGAGTAACTATTTACAACATGTTACAATAATAAAAACCAAACAGTGTGACATAGAATTATCCTGATTAGTTCATGAAGGAAAAACAAAAAAAAAAAAAAAAGTTGGAAGAAAAATGTCATAGAATACCGATTACATTTACTGTTTTGTGATGTCTAAATTACAGAAACATACTGTCTATAACTCAAAGCTGGAAAAATTCTTTAACAGATAAATGTAAACGATTTATAGGGATATAGTTGTCTTTGTTGAGTATTCTGATGATGTCATTTTTTTTTTTTTTTTTGTTTTTTTTGTTCATTGATAAAAGAAGAAAAAGACATAAACTACGTTTTTCTTGAAGATAAAAAAAAAAAAATAATACAAGAGGAAAACCGAAGATATCATGCTTGAGGCGGAAGTTAAAAATTTTCTTTTTGTATGAAAATGATACATATATTCTTAGCAAAAAAAAGAAAATACTAACAATAACATCCGGCTTTTAGTAAATATATTAAGAATAAAGAAATAGATTCTATTTTAGTCTTCACGTAAAACTCATATCATTACAACTATAAATCTCTGTTAAGTACACTTCTGTACTTGGTCATAATAAAACGTGATTCTAATGTCAAATAAATAAGGAAAATTGTTTTTTTGGATATGATTGAAGTATATAACGTGACACCGTTAAGAAGTTTATTGAAAATAGTTAAAAAACAAGTATCATTTACAAATGATTTTTTCAACTCAACTCAAAATAAAAAGATTAATAAACAAATGCGTCTAGGTAAATTTTTATCTAATTGCAAAAGAATTTATGATTATCTTGACTCTTCCTGTGAAACTCATAATTTTTTCAAGAACAATCTCAAATAAATCAATTTTAACATCATGATGTAAAACAATTTTTGTCAGAAAATATCTAATACATACAGATGAAAGGTGAATCATTTGCGACAAGAAATAGTTTCATCGAAAATGTGTACTATCAGATAGGGATGTTACAAGCCTTCAAACCTTACAACAGAGATCACATGTTTTCATTATTCAAAACCCCCAAGCTCTGCTGAGCTTTTTTGTCAGACGGAATCAATTTTCTCTGCTGTATCCGAAATTAGTGCTAGGACTGGTCAAAATCAATAAAAAAGTATCGAGCTTGGTAAAGCGTGTGAAAAATACAGATAAAGGTTAATTTTTATCAAGCTCGGTATCTTTTTATTGATTTTGACCAGTTCTAGCACTAATTTCGGATAGAGCAGAGAAAACTGGTTACATTCGACACAAAAGCTCGGCAGAGCTTGGGAGTTTTGAATAATGAAAATATGTGATCTCTGATGAAAGATCTCAAGGCTTGTAACATCCCTGCTGTCAGAAGGTTTCTAGATACACAAATAATTTCTGGTCTAGCGTTGGCTAAAAATAGTCAAACTAACAGATGGTAAATATTAAAATAGAAAAACTCGAACCATTATGCATGTAAATACAGAAGATTATTCGTATTTCAGTACATAATCTGTCCTCTGGCAAAAAAAATCCCTCGTGACCAGTAACGTGAGCAGAAGTGAAATGCTATTCCATTGTGAAAATTTTTTATTTTCACTGTTAACACGTTACGTTGACAAAAAAAAAAACAAGTTTCAGAGCGATCGCTTTTTATCAAATTTCTAACGGACGAAAGTTTCACATTACAAGACTAAGACTGTTTTATTCACGAAAAGTGAGGCATCAAAGGTCACCGACTTGTAATAACAATGACTCAAGCCAAACAACAACAAAAGAGTAATAAAAAAAAGAACAAAATAAAGAAGTCAACTAAAATTAGAACCGGAAAATAGTAAACACTGGATCGACCACATTTTAAAGGAACGACTAAGTATAGAAAATTTCACTCTACTACACTGTGATTTATCGGCCAAGAAAAAAAAAGTGCTTCCTGTCGTGATTCTTAGACATGTTTTTTTGGCAGTTTTTCCTTGCCTTAAATACACTGCAAAAGAATTGTAATCAATAATTATCCGTTGAACGGATAATTATTGATTACAATTCTTTTGCAGTGTATTTAAGGCAAGGAAAAACTGCCAAAAAAAACGTCTGAGATCGTAGCAACAGCATCCCTTGGCCGTCAGATCACTATATAGATTTTCTTCATACAATAGAATTAGTACTATCAGTACAGAGTGCTTTAGTACCACTATCATTCGCAAGCACGTCAGCTTTTTAACATACAAAACTTAAAACTTATTTATGTGTTTGCATTAGCGCAAAATAGATCAAAAGCAAAGACACGCAGTGAATCGTAATACTAAACGTAAAAGAATTAATTGATTGTAAAAACCTTGCTTTCAACTTTGCTCCTGGCATATTAATACAATATTTTATTTTATTTTTCCACTTCTTCTTCTTGTCTCTTTTTTTTGATTAGTCAAACGTTTTACCAATAGAATTTTGATCATTTTCCTCGCTCTTACCCCCATTAGGTGCATTTGTCCTGCTAGTTGCAACGCAAAGTTTTTTTTATCATCTTTACGAAAGATAATTTAAAACTTTTTAATATTTATCTTTAAAAGACAACAGTGCACGTCTCTCACTTTAGATTGGTCTAGCTAAAGTTGTGGTATTTCGAAAAAAAAATGAGTCATTTGATTGCGACAGAACCATATTTAACGAATTCAGGCTTTGAATTACTGTATACTTTGTTCTTTTTTAAATAATTCCATAAAATAATTTTGTGTAATAAAATAGTGTGCCTTCTTAATCATTTGTCCAGTGTTTTTCTCTATTTATAGTTTTATTTCTTCTGTTGTTGTTTAGCTTGACTCAGTGTTATTATAAGTCGCGGACCTTTGATGACTCTCACTTTTCATGAATAAGATCGTACTACTACTGCTGTGAACTGACAATCCACAATATTGACTTATTGATCTATATGACTGAAGAAAAATTGAACGATGAGGAAAAACGAGTAAGTCGTTTGAATGAATTGTTGGATATAATTAACAAATCTAAAGAATATTTCAATTCACAAAATATTCATGATCTAAATGATTTATTTTTTTTACAAACAATATTTGATGAGTTACATCGAGATTTTTTTAAAGACTATAGTCGATATCGTTTATCCAATTTAGCTGTGTCTGTCTTACATCCGTATATGAAACAATATTTATCAACATGGGAGCCATTATCTACCGATAACGATGAATTAATTAAATTATTTTCAAAATGGAGAGTAGTACTAGAAGATAAAAATAATGGGACAACAGTGATACCATTATCATCTATCCAAAATTTAGATCCTTATCATCGTTTATTATGGGACATATGGATGCCAAAAGTACGACAATGTATTCTTAATTGGAATCCACGTGAATCAGATAAATTAATTGAGTTTCTTGAACATTGGTTACCGTGTATTCCCTTATGGATATTAGATAACATATTAGATCAATTAATAATACCACGTTTAGAACGAGAAATTGATTTATGGAATTCATTAACGGATTCAATTTCAATTCATTCATGGATACATCCTTGGTTACCATTGATGAAAGAACGTCTTGAATTATTATATTTACCTATACAAACAAAATTAGGCTATGCATTAAAACATTGGCAACCATCTGATTCATCGGCAAAAGAGATTTTATTACCATGGAAAAATGTATTTAAACAAAAAATGTGGGATGCATTTATGAATAAATATATTATACCAAAATTAATTATAACCATGCAACAATTTGTGATTGATCCTAAACAACAAATAATTGAACCATGGAACTGGATAATTTCTTGGCATGAAATGATTCCAATGACGAGTATGATTATTCTATTGGAACATAGTTTTTTTCCAAAATGGTTGAAAGTATTAAATGATTGGTTAAATACAACATCAAATTATAATGAAATTCAATGTTGGTATTCTCAATGGAGATCTCTTATACCTTCAACATTAATCAGTCATCCAACAATCAAAGAAAAATTAACTGAAGGACTTGAAATGATTGATCGTAGTTTATCACACTTACCATCTAGCACAGTACCAACTTCCACTCAACAGTCAAAGTCTGTTGATAATCTTGATTATGAGACACTGTTAAATCGTGGTGTGGCCTCATCATCATCACCGATTATTCACAGTTTTAAGGATTTAGTTGAGAAAAAAGCTGGTGAACATAATATTTTATTTTTACCAGTGAAAAATCGTTATTATGAAGGAAAACAAGTGTATCACTTTGGTAATGTGAAGGTTTATATTGATAAAAAAGTTCTATTTCTATTGGAAAATGGTCAGTGGGTACCAACTGCATTAAATTCATTAGCTAAAAAAGCATGTTGATTTTCTATTTTTTTTTGTACATATATTGACTTTTTGATGTATTTTTTGCTAAACATAAAGTACCTTAGAAGTTATTTGAACTCAGTTTGACTCTCAGTTTTTTTATATTAATCTCTATTACTTAGATATTCTGAGTTTTTGCAGACATTTTGGCCTTTTTATTCTTATCTTTGTTTAGTCATTTTGTTTTGCAAAATGTGTCACGACGTGATTTAGAGAATTACGCAACGTAGAAAAGATTTGAAAATGGGAGAGAAGTTTTTTGAATGCTGCAGATTGACAACTGAATTGAATTTTCAATATTTCTCTCTGTCTTTCTACGAGATTTTACTGAAAACAATTTATCAAAACTTCTTGAATTTTTCAGAATTATGGGAGTCTGTCGACATCGCAACTTATGCGTAGCACACAATTGCAATCGACTTGTTGTTGTTAGTAATTGAGAAGAGTGGAAACTACTTGAAACTAGAAAATTTTCATTACTGTGAATATTTCCTCTGTAAAATCAACTTTGATCATAGCCGTGAAAGAGAATTTTAATGGCATGCTGGAGAGTACTGTGGAGTTCAGTTGTTCAAAATGCCATTAAAAACATTGAAATGAAGACGAGCCGGTACTTAGAAACGAGAGTTACACGATCAGATCCACGTTTCTAATGAGATTCACAATCACAACTACTTTGCTCTTAATCTTAAAATGGTACTTTCTTCTTTGTTCCAAAACAGAGAGTGATTTCAATCACGCAGCATCTATAAAACTGTTAATAAATTGTACTCTTAAAAGTTGAGATTTTGACTAACAAACAAATTCTTTTGTCTTGTATTGTTTTCTTCTCCTTTAGTTTATTTCGCTTTTATTTAGAAGAGTCTGAACAAAAAAAGTCATTTTAATAATTCAGAATTGCAGTTCAACAATGTTTAAGTTTGAAAACGAACTTTTCATCATTATTGAAATTGAAAAAAGAAAATGACTGAAAAAATACTCTCCCTCTCTCTATCGACACTGTCTTTGAAACTTCTAAATTAAATTGTTATTTATTACAGTACATTTGATTTGTTTACTTTCAGAAAGCCATGGTAAAATATTCTAAAGAAAAACATAAGAAAAAGCATCATCATCACCGTCATCGTGACAAAAAAGATAGTGGTCATCGTTCAAAATCACGATCATCACGAGAATCTCGTTCATCATCGCAATCGACTGATCAAGATGAATATTGTGAGAAGAGTCGTGAACGAATATCAACTGGTGAAAAAACTATGGCACAAATTGAAAATGAAAGAGAAAAATTACGCTTAGAAAAAAAGTAGGCTTGTATTGAATTTGTTTCTTATTTTATAAGAACTACAATCTTAAATTTGTGTCTTTAGGAAACAACGTGCATTAGTGAAAACTATTGAAACACCGCAAGAAAAACGTTTGAGACGTTTAGCAAAAAAAACGGAAAAAGAACGACGACGAAAATCAGAATTAGGTTGGGGTGAAGAACATATGGTAGATAACGATTCTATTTTTATGTTAAAAAAATTTATGTCTCTGTTTTGATTTAGGATATGAATAATACAAATAATCCATTTGGTGATGATAAATTATTAGAAAATTTTGTTTGGGTAAAGAAATTGGAGCGTCAGGGTTATACAAATTTACCCGTTGCTCAATTAAACAATATAACAAAGCAAAGAGTAGAGGAAAACAAAGTATGTTTTATTTGATTCTTCCTACCCGTTCGGGCATTTGCTCACAATGATAAAAGCACAGAAATTGAAAATATATTTCATCTATTTTACATTATTTACTTATTTTTAGTCTGAACTTGAGAAATTGAAACGACAACGTTTAGAACGTGAACGTCAAAAAGAAGAAATGGATAAAGAAAAAGAATTTTTACAACGTTTGAAGGAAGCTGACTATTATCGTGAATGGGAAAAACAAGAAGATTCGGTATGTAAACAATTTTCCATCTTCTAACAAGGATATTCTGTTTATTGTTAATATTGCACATAGTTAGTATTGAACACCAAAGTGTATAATATTAGGAGATCGGAAATATTAATAGAAGTAGGCAACGATTTTTTCAATAATTTAATAACTAATAATGCAGCTGTGTAGAATTTTATTCTTGTTAACTTTTATATTTTTACCTTTACAGTCATTGTCAATGATAGAAAACTGTACACAAGAATAAAAGTAGCAGAACTATAGATAGACATAGACAAACATTTTCATTTTACTTGACAAAACACGACAAGAACTGGACTGTATACATTTTCTTTTTTAAAAAACATGCGCATGTTTTAAAAAAAAGATCACAACAAAATCAGCTATCACTAAACACTATGAAAGCACAGGACACGTGATAACATCAAATGATTTTCGTATTCTTCTCATTGAACAACGTAGATATAAATTTTTAATAAAACAATTTTTCATGATACGTGCTCAAGCTCCAGTCTTGAACGGAACAGATCGATCCGTGCCTTTATACGTCTTTCCAGACGGTTTGGAAAAGAGAAAACATTAGGCGATACGAGACTAATTCCACCATACACTAGTCAGTAATTTTGTTTTTTCATCTTTTGATAATATTGTCTAAGTACTTTTTCTTTAAACATGCGGATGGTTTTTTAAAAAAGAAAATGTATACAGTCCAGTTCTTGTCGTTTTTTGACAAATAAATTGAAAATGTTTATCTGTGTCTATGTATAGTTCTGTCATTTTCATTCCTGTGTACAGTTTTCTATCATTGACAATGACCGTAAAGGTCGAAATATTTGATTCTTAACAAATAAAATTAAATAAGATCGGGAATACTCTGTGTATGTAGTTTTATCAGATACTTCTTTCAGAAAGGATAAAGGGCAGCGTTTCTAATGAACATTGTTTTTGCTAAGTGTATGTTGAGTAGAACGCTTTAGTGAAGACATTTTCGATACAAAATTGTTGACAAACTCGTATTATTTTGTTCATTAAACAGAAACGATTTGTAATTCGGATTATCTCACCACGTAATTCTTCATCTTCTAACTGTTATTGTTGTTGTATGTATCAATTTTTTCAGAAATTGGTCGATAATTTAAGATCTTTTTTTGGGATTTATGTGTTTTTTTACTCACATCGCTACTCATCTGAAAGACAGATGCACCGGGAACAGTGAGAAAATCGATTCTCTCATTCTTTTGGTCTACTCATTCAACCTTGAAATTCATACTTATTCTCTAATTTTGTCTCTCTCATTCTTCTACACCGTAGATATCTATATTATATCATATGATATCATATCTTATGAGTGAGATACAATAAAAATACGCGAAGTCTCACTATTCTTTTTTTTGCCCTTCTTTTGTTTATATTACAGTGAAACCTCTCTCTGCGATCGTCTACGTACGCTGACCAATGACCAGAGCACGTGTTAGTGGGAAATACGGATATTTTGTATTTCCTCAATAACTCCGTCAGTTTTCATCGAATTGAATTAATTTTTGTTTTTAAAAGATTCATCGTTCAATTCATTATCAAATCATAAAAAAGTTTTTGTTCTAAACTAAAAACTAAAACAGTTATTGTAAAAATAATGAAGAAGTCCAACATGTCCAACTTTCAAGCCGAAAATAAATTTCTTTGCGTTTGTGCTCAAAGATGAAGAAACAGAAAAAAAGTAGGTGAGCTATTTTTTAGAGTTTTGAAAACTCGATCTTCCTAGTGTGTTTCAAAATTTTTTCGAGCAAAACCCTGTCGCATAAAATTTGCTTTTATTTTTTCGTATGTTCCATACGAATGGTTTTGGCTCTTCTCGGAAAATCGATGTAATTCGGCCGAAATAGAAACTTTTAAGCCCAATTTTTTTTTGTTTGAAATTTCATGAATTGTACTACGAGAAGCCATGCTTAGATCAAACAAAAATTACTTTTTTTCGTTCAAGTGTCAAGGCGAAAACCATCAGTTTTCGACCTGGCAAGCAAAAAATAGATTTTGATTCACTGGTTTTGAGCGAAACATCTTTTCTTTTATACGATCAGAAAGAGCACCGTTTTTTGTACAGTAAATCATAATCATTTAGTATTTTTTCAGATAAATTTTATTACCGAAAAAATGGTAAAACAGTTTATGTATACGAGTTTGAAAGTTAAACATGTTGAACTTCTTGATTATTTTTGAAATAATTTTTTTTAGTTTTGCGTTTAGAACAAAAAGATTTTTATGGTTTGATGGAGTATTGAACGATGAATCTGTTAAAAACAAAAAGTAATTCGATCCGATGAAGACTATCCATTCTTTATGGCACACCCGTTACTTTTGAAAAATTCCGAGGGTAGTCGTTTTACAGAGATTTCACCGTATGACGAACAAAAATGAAATCGTTATCCAATAGATAAATATCATGTTCTCTAAATCTCTTAAATTCTTTTTCGAGAAAAAAACAAAAAAACTCTATTACATGAAATATTGAATTCATTTCAAATTATGTGTATTCATTGTGATTTTAGTTTCATTTCAATCAAGTTAAATTACGATCAAATATTCGTATTTTTGATGGTCGTGCAAAACCCATTGATCTATTAGCACGTTACATATCGGAAGAAGATGACAAAGATTTATCAGTTGAAATACATGAACCATCGACCTATCTTAATGGTTTAAGTATTCGTGATTTAGAAGATTTATTGGCAGATATACGAGTTTATACTGAATTAGAAATTCAATCACAACGTCAATATGATAAACAATATTGGTTTGATATTACATTAATTACAGAAGATGAATTGCAAAAATTAAAAAAATTACAAAATAATTTATTAAATGATGTTGGTGATCGACGTGAGGGAATTAATCAAGCTGTAGTAACCGGTAGGTATTTAATATATATTTTATTTTAGTCTTTTCTATAATTAAAACATATTTTCTTACAATTTTAGATGTAAATGAAACATTTAAGAATAAAACTCATCAACAATTAGAACAATTAGAAGAACGAATAAAATCAAAAATTGAAAAAGAAAAAGAAATTGATATTGGTTATTGGGAATCGTTGTTAGTACAATTACAAGCACATATGGCACGTGCACGATTAAAAGATCGACATCAATTCAATTTACGTAAAAAATTACGACAAATTAAAGATGAACAAGGTATTTTTGCTGTTCCACAACAACCTTCAAGTAGTCCACTCTTTCCGTCAACCGTCGTTGTACAATTGAAAAAAGAAAAAGATACAAATGGTAACGATGACGATGATGATAATGAAGAAGAACAAGTAGAAACAGAACAATCACAAGATAATAATGAAGAAGAAACAAAATGTATTAAAGATTATGAATCAGGTCGATATAGTCCACAATTATTAACACAAGCTGATTTGAATCTTGAACAATATATTGACGATGAACTAGTAGATAAAGATAAATTAGAACGACAACGACAAGAAGTTCGAAAGACAGGATCAATCAAAGTATGAAAATCAAGAAAGAATGAAAAATTCTTAGTTTATCTTATGTTTTCTAGTGTTCTTGTTTTTTAGCCTGATGTTGAAGATGCATTTGAAAAATTTGCTCGTGATATGGGAAGTTTAACAGTGGATGATACATCAATTAATGGTGTTGTACCGTTAGATATTCAATATTTATGGTCAGATAAATATCGACCAAGAAAGCCGAGATTTTTCAATAAAGTTCATACGGTATGTAGAAATGAATATTTAATATTTTCATAAACTATTGAGTTGAATGATTTTTAGGGTTATGATTGGAATCAATATAATAAAAAACATTATGATACTGACAATCCACCACCAAAAACTGTTCAAGGTTACAAATTCAATATATTCTATCCAGATCTTATTGATAAAACAAAAACACCATCTTATAATTTAGTATGTACAAAGTTTAATCACTCATCGTTTCTGAAATTATTTATTTATTCTATTTTAGACAATATGTGAAGATAATCGTGATTTTGGTATTCTGAAATTTCATGCTGGACCACCCTATGAGGTAAATGGAACAAAAATGTTTAAACAAAAAGTAGACGTATAGTTATATCCCACCTTACTAATAAGAACACACCTCACGAGGTGACATCTTCTGTTTCCAGTGATTTATACTTCAATCGATAGGGTATATCGAACTAGTAAAAAATCTAAAAGAATATGGGCCTATTTTACTTGGTTCTAAAGTTATTGAATTTTTTCGCCCTTTTTTTCGCTATCTAAAATGACTAAAGTATTCATAACACACTCACAAAAGACGGTATGAAAGGCTGAATTATTTTTCTGGAGCAGTGCTAGATGTCTACTATGTTCATGGAACGTTTCAGCTTTTCATCTTTTTTATTTACTAAGTTACAGAGTCTCGTTTTTAAGTAAGTATTGTGAGTTATTTTGACTAGGCACATGGACATATGCCATAAAAGTGATATGAAAACCTCTAAGTACTATTTCCAGAGATCGAATCTTTGAAAAACCTGACTGAAAGTGTTTTTGAACTTTGTAAATCACACCATTGGAAAGCGTGCAGCCGAAAACCCATAGAAACAGACTTTTAGAGAGTTTCATATCACTGTTTAGGCACATGTCCATGTCAAAATGACCCACAGTACTTACTTAAAAACAGAAAACTCTGTAACTTAGCGAATAAAAGAGATGAAAAGCTGAAACGTTCCATGAACATAGTAGACATCTAGCACTGCTCCAGAAAAATAATTCAGCCTTTCATACCATCTTTTGTGAGTGAGTTATGAATACTTTAGTCGTTTTACGCAGCGAAAAAAAGGGCGAAAAAATTGAATGACTTTTGAACGAAGTAAAATAGGCCCATACGAGTTTTTACTAGTTCGATATATCCTATCGATTGAGATATAAATTATGGGAAACGGAAGGTGTCACCTCGGGAGGTTCTCTCGTAAGACAGAATTTTTGTACTACTTTTTCGTGCACAACAATTCACTTAATAAAGAAAGTGATCGTGAAAATAGAACTCGATAGAATACAGCGTTTTTCTTGAGAAGCCAGCGTAAAGTACTCATATCAGATGATTTACAGATTTTTGAATTAAAAGTAGTTTTTCTAACTAGTAAGTCTTGATACCAATCACGAATTTGGTGTTTATTCTGTGCCCTTATCGAGTTTTTGAATGGGCCTTTCGGCGTTTGATCTCGAGAGTTTCATCATGAGATTGTGATCTGATCAATTTATAGAGCTCACCAGACGATCTTCGTGGAAAATCTTTTTGAACCAACGAATAAGTTTTTTAGTAGATTAGAAATAGTTGACTACTAAAAAAAACTGGGCAAAGTCAGATATTTCGCTGTACTTGAGATTTAATATTTTTAGAATTCATATCATCCAAAAAATATTGCATTCATCAGTTATTTTTGTTCTCTTCTTTTGTATTGTTCATCATCACACATTATTCTTTTTAGGATATTGCCTTCAAAATTGTCAGTAAAGAATGGGATTATTCATATAAACATGGTTTCCGCTGTCAATTTCAAAATGGTATGTTTCAATTATGGTTTCATTTTCGAAAATGGAAATATCGTCGATAAACTATTTTTTCTTCCATTCAAACGGCAATATCAAAACATTCTTCTCATTGACATGTATTTATTTTTAACTTGATGTGTCGTATATTAAAACGAGATTATTAACGTTTTGTATTAAACATTCTCTTTTTGTACTCGTTGTATAATAAATATAAATACTGTTCTGATCATATCAACTTTTAGGCTGCCTACACGCATCTATCTGTAAGACTTCTAAAGAGTTCGTGTCTTTGGACATTCACCTTAAAACTCTGATAATATCGATGTTGTCATGATCACTATGTAGAACAGATCGAGTTATATTTGAAAATAATGTTTTCTTCTCATATGAAAATATCATAACGAGATGATCAACCACTTTTACCTGATTATATGTGATCAAAAATACAAAATTGTGTCATAACACATGATAGTTTTCTCTATTAAACACCAAGAGATGAAGATTCTTTGTATAATGACTGTTGAACTCGAAGAAAATGTATGAGCCAGTTGACATTTTACCGAGACATCATCTTGTCCATTCAAATACATTTAAAGGTATCCTTCTCTTTTTTGCACTTTCCATAGAAATGCTATCAAATAAAAACTAAAAATCACTGAGACTTCGTTTTTTCAGTGCCGATTGAAAACTCAGTGGAACATTTTTTCAAGTCTCTATCGATTAATCGGTTCATCAATTATTTTTACAAACAAATCGATCTTTCATTGTTTCACATTATGCCTCTTAAATTTCATCCGATTCATCTAAAACTTATACCACAGGAACTTAGGGCAACTTCTTTTCAAAGACCTTTCATTACCGGTTTATAGTGAAAAAATGTGTTAAGAAAGAAACAAAGTTTTTTATTTTTATGTACTCGATAAATCGATAAGAAAAGTATTTAAAAAGAAGTTGCCTTGAGTTCCTCTGGTATAACTTTTAGATCAATCAGATGAAGTTTATGGACCCAAATGGACTTTTGGCGTGGATGTCTGGAAAATGAATCTCTTGAGACCCATCCTAAATTTCAAGATGAAGAGATTTTGATCTATCTGTCGTCTAGAGCATGTCGAGTTACCTGTATGAAAAAAATGTCATGAGTCATTCATAACTCAACCTTTAAGTCTTGAAATTTTTTCATACAGGTAACTCGACATGCTCTACACGACAGATAGATCAAAATCTCTTCATCTTGGAATTTAGGATGGGTCTGAAGAGATTGATTTTCCAGACATCCACGCCAAAGGTCCATTTGGGCCCAAACGAATGTCATATTCGTTATCAGCGTCGGAAATTACCTATAATCATGTATGGACTCTTGGGACCTTCCCTCGTCAGTATTTGAAAAGTTTTTCATTTGGTTTTGTAGAGCAAACGGTCTTCTGCTCTGGTTATAATCATTTTGCCAAAATTTCTCAATATTATGGTACAGTATTT